CATTGACTAATATCATAGCTAAATTGCGAAAATACATATTAAAAACTAAAGTACCTACCTATACGGTATACTAATAAAGACATTATTTAATAGTTACAGTGTCAATTAAGTATTCTGTGCCTAGTGAAGTGACACTTACGATATTTTAAACGTCAAGTAAGTATTAGATTCCCTAGGAAAAGTTTCTCCCACTACACTCAGAGTTTTTAATTTTTAAGGGGAGGTGTTTGAGCAGGAATTCCGGGAGCGGCGGCAGGAATTGGCAGGAATGGTGCACTATAAATATTGGCGTTGGAAAAAGTTGAACAATTGAAATGGACGAGGGAGGGGAAATGTACGTCTACACATGGTCAGGACCGTTCTTAATATTTGCAGGATCCAGGGCAAAAATAATAGTGCCACCTTTTCTTACCCACCGTTTTGTATTTAATATTTTAACTGCTCATTAGCATCAGTTTATAACTTCTATAAGGAATATACACTATATAACTCCTAATGAACCCTACAAATATGATGTTACCAAGACATTACAATATTACATAATATGTATATTATAATATTGTATATTATATTATATTATTTGTATATTATATGTATATTATAATATTGTATAAGTATTAATTTTATGATTCAATTTTATATATTTAAAATAATATCTATATAATATATATTTTTATTTATTTGTATGGTATGTAGGAAATAATTATTATAGGTTATAGGTATTAATGAGAGATAATATATTAACACTGGGTACTGATATTTATATGTATAAGAAGTATAAGAAATGTAATAATTATGATGATTCATAATTGACAAATAAATAATATATTTATATAATAATAAAAACCAAATTGAATTAAAAAGTTAAACTTGAACAAATAAAAGTAAGTTGAATAAACAATCTAAATTCGGTAAATAAAGCCAAGATTAATGAAAAATAAATCTAATTTGAATAAAATACCTAAATTTAATAAAAAAAAAAAAGAATAGTTGAGGAATAAAAATATCTTAATTGAATAAAAATAAATCTAAATTGGATAAAAAATTGCCTTGTAACTATTAAAAAAATTTCAATTTAATTCTTCTCTCCAAGTATTCTAATAGTTGATTTTTAATTATTTTTTCAAGGATTTTAGCTAGAATTCCTACTATTGAGATTGGTCTATAATTAGTGAAATCAGTTGTATCTCCTTTTTTATGAATCGGTACGATTCTAGCTACTTTAAGTTCATCAGGAACAGTACCATTTGTTATGCTACAGTTAACTATGTGTACAATAGGTAATATCACATTGTCTCCTATTTGTTTAAAAAATAGTGCTGAATAACCATCAACTCTAGGTGCCGAGTTATTATTCAGATTATTCAATATACTTTTTACTTCGTAACTGCCTATAGTTTTTAACTTGAAGTTGGACCTTATGATTTCTTATTAGTATTTGTTCCGAAATTAGATTGTATATTATTTGTACTATTAGAAAAATTGTTATCAACTAGTCTATTTCCGGTGGAAGCGAAGTATGAATTTACTATGTTTAAGTAGTCTTTAGGCGTGGATGTCGGATAAACCTAGTCCTTTATTATTTCATTGATTGGTAGCCCGGTAGATTTAATTTTTCTCTCAGATAGTCCAGATTTCTCTGGAATTGATTATAAATCTAAATATAAAATGGAAATTAAATAGAGAAATCTAAATTCGATAAATAAAGCCAAGTTGAATATAATAATCTATTTTATTTTATTTTAAATCCAATTACTGGTGCAGTAATTTATCAACTTCTGTTTTAGTTAGTTTCTTTTTTTGTGAATTTTATAACTGTCTTGACAAATTACTACATATCAGAATGACTACGACTACAATAACAAATACTATATAAAATACTAAATAGTAATAAATAATAATTATTTTATTTACAAGTTATTTGTTGAACTGCAATGACAAATCAATAATATGGTTATTCGTAGCCATCTTAACCCGTAGGTAGGTAGTTAATGAATTAATTAATAATTATATTTATCAAGAATATTTTTTACGAATATAAATCCATAGTTATTTACTTTTTGTACAAAATTTCAGTTAGGTGAGGTTAGGACAACAATTTGAATTTTAGCACTATTTCACCAATTCACCCACTATTTTTTGCTGTCGTGATGTATGCAATGTTTGTTGCAAATTTTTTTCACGTATACACGCTATTAGGTGGTACTCGTCAAATCCATCAAGTGTAAAATAGATTTAATTTGTGCAAACAGTGTCGGTCTGGCTTATGATTGGGCCCCCGGCACAGTAATTTTCAATGGGCCCTTTACAAAAAAAAAAAAGGGTTTTGAAATTTATAATTTTTATAACATATTAAAGTAGTTGCATTTTCCGCGTACATAAGTATATTTAATATCAAATTAATACTTTTTATGATTAAATAATCAAATAAAATATATAACTGTTCAGTACGTAGTACGATGGCTAACCTGGCTAGGTAATTGGATCCAGTCGGTAACTTTAGATACAAATACTAATAAAAAAAAAAAAAACGATTTTGTTTTTTAGTTGTGGTTCACAAAGGAATAACAACGTTAACTTAAAATGTTCTTCAAATATAATATTATTTTAGACAATAATCTCTTCAATTCTTGACTAGAAGATGCTAATTGATCAATTATTTCATCTTTTTGAATAAATATTCTTCTACAAATAAGAAAATTAGTGGTTCAAGATGTTCTTGACTGATAGACGATCTTAGTATTGTTTTTAAAATTTTCAATTTTGAAAACGCACGTTCAAATGAAACTTGTGTACAAGAAAGGGCATAATTCTGGTTTAGCAACTTATCGTTTTTCAAATTTTTTTTTTTTTTTAATGTGTATTTTAGGGTACTTTATAAGAATGTAAAAAAAAGGCCGGACAAACTTCGTTTTGAAATTATAGCCATCCAAAGTTTGCGATTTATACGCATGTGGGCAACACTACTTTAATGATGCGCGGAGGAACTCGTGTTTTTTTCCCGAGCGCAGCATAGCTAGCGAGTGGCAACGCTAGCCGATTATGTTCCTTATAACAACTCTGTTTAATTCCGAGGCCTACGCAAAACCAAAACAAATCGGGGATGTTTTCGATTTTTTTGTCAAAGCGTTATTCAATTCTAAGGTATTAAACAAATCAGATTTTGATGTTATTTCATAAAGTATTTAATAGTGATTTATGTACAGCGATTAGCGAGCATAAGTTTGAGTGTCTGTGTGCGAGGTGCGTGTCTGTATGTCTGTGTGTAATACTGTGTATCACTCGTATTAGTATTATTATTGGAAAATTATCGTAAATCTATTTTTGTCTCGTCAGTGCCGACTGCCTATAGTATACTACCTATAATTATATAGGTAATAGCCAATAGGTATATGACATAAATCTGTAGATCACGGACTAAGATATTGTAATCGCCGGCCTCAATAATAGTATACAGGGTGATTTTTTTATCGAAGAACACTCATTATTTCAAAAAGTATTAATGCTTAAGAAAATATTTTTTTACATAGTTTCAAGTTGTTAAAAAACAATATTTTTATTAAAAAATTATATTTTTAAATATTTTTTATCCTTTTAATTTTTTAAGTTTTTTACTTTTTTGAATGACAACATCTAATTTTAATTTGATATTCAAAAACAGAATATTTTTCTGATTATTTTAATACATAAAAATTGAATTTAGGGCAAGTAGTTTATGAGTTATAAGTATTTAAAGTTTTGATGAGCGGAGTAGAGGACAAACATTTCGCGGGGTAACCCCGTACCACTCTACTCCGCTCATCTAAACTTTAAATACTTATAACTCATAAACTAATTGCCCTAAATTCAATTTTTATGTATCGAAATACTCAGAAAAATATTCTGTTTTTGAATATCAAATTAAAATTAGATGTTGTCATTCAAAAAAGTAAAAAACTTAAAAAATTAAAAGGATAAAAAATATTTAAAAATATAATTTTTTAATAAAAATATTGTTTTTTAACAACTTGAAACTATGTAAAAAAATATTTTCTTAAACATTAATACTTTTTGAAATAATGAGTGTTCTTCGATAAAAAAATCACCCTGTATACTAATATTTATAACCAATGGTTCAATGTTTACAAATTGATTTGATTGGAACCCGAGTCTGGAATCTCGAGTAAACATAATATTTTTTTTCATTTAGCTATGGGCCCCTAATACATGAAAATATCCAGGGGCCCCCGGCGATCGCCGGGTATCCGGGTGGGCCAGACCGACACTGTGTGCAAAATAACTTAATGTCCGCAAAATAATGGCAAACACCAAATTCAATTCTTATAACGAATTATGGAAATGGTTTGTAAAAAGAGTGACTCTCAAATGTTGAAAGTGAACTAGCAAATTATTGTAATTAACTCGCAAACTAATAACTATTGATGAAGATTTTACTGAAAGTAAACTTATGAACTCACTACTCAATGTTGGTGGGCCAAATTCATGGATATTGTACTAGGTTCACTTTCCTACCAGAAAAGATACTGAAGTAGAAAATCGACGAATTTTTAGTTTTTACTGTCCCAAAAGATCGTTCCTCTGAGAATATAAAAAATATAAAGAGGATTATTTTGAATAATGAATTATACCTATTAATATGGATATTTTGTGTATTATGAGATATTTATATTTGAAAGCACAGGATATTTTTAGTGCAAACCTAACAATATTTGATAATGGCAAGAGTTTGCATTTATTAGGTTTTCTAATATAAAATACAAGGACATAATATAGATTAACACATTATGCATATACTAGGCATATAATAATATAATCGTTTATTATAATCAAAATTATTTTGTTTTAAAAATATCCATTATAAATTTAAATAATTAAATGTAATATTTGGATATGACTTTAAAAATAATAAACGTACACGTACATTTATATTATGATAATAATAATAAGTATTCAGTATAAATAAATATTCAAATTTAATTATTAAACCGCATTATAGTATACTATGTATATTGAGCTGACTCCACAAAATCATTTTCCGCCAACCATTCTTTCAAATATGATCTGATCGTAGTCCGAGCTTGTGTTAATTCCGGAAGATCTGACGAAGCCGGAGGATACATATTCGCGCAATGAGATGTCCCTAAGAAAGAAACGTAAAATCAGCACATAATTGTTTGGCATTATTAAATAGTTGTATTTATAGTTATAGATACATATACAAGTCATAAAACAACTAAAAATATGATATAAATTTAATTTTAAATACAATTAATAATTATAGTTACCATTAATAAAAATTGCCACGTTATTTTTTGTTCTTGCTTGCGTAATACCTAATGCATGCCATGGATCAACCGAACCGTGTACGAATATTACCCGGCTATCTCTAATGTTCAATTCACCGAACATTGTATTTGTTCGTTCGACTGCAGTTGTCAATAGCTCCGAATTATATCTAAACAGAAAATAATATTATAGTAACTCGTAAGTAGGTACGGTAAATTCAAATCGTTTCTAGGATTATACGTATAATTATATATTTGTATATTCTATATTATAAACTTATAGTAAACAGTATACCAGCTGGTATACCGGTATGTAAATATTTCAGTACACATACAAACGACTGAGATAAAATCGACATAAGATACTGATATACCTAGGTACCAATGTTTAGGTACCTATACACGTCCAACTCCACTATATAGGCGCTAGGTAAAGAACGCGTTTTAAAGAAGAATGTTATGATTTTGTAGATGTTGTGTTAATAGCTGATGTTTATTACTTTTTTGAGAAGTGTTAACATTACTAAAAAAAATCAATTTCTAGTAGGTATTTAATAACAAATTTCTTGGGATGTACTTACCAACATTTAATTGGTATAACATATTACTATACTATATATATACTTACGACCAACCTAATACCAATATTATATTAATACACAGTGCGTATTAACTTACGATTTTCCGAAAATGTCTTGGCACATATTAATAAAAAAGTCAATTGGAAAGTTATGACCAAACACATGATCATCTTGACTAGATGTCTGATAAAATCCAAACTCTGTACAAGTTTGATATGTCCATTGTCGACCTGTAACAGTAATAATAATTGTCTTATCACGAAAACATAAAGATCAAATGTAAGGTTAATACCTATTATAATTTACATATATAAATTATACATAATACATTTACAATATTATGCATATACTTGTATATTATAATATATACTTATACTATTAACAACTTTTCATAATATATAATATTATATTAGTGATGATAATATAACTTGCATAGAATTTAATTGAAACTCAATACTAACCTCCTCCTGCTGCACTACTATCCCAAGACGTATTTAAATACAAATCAATCAACTGGGAATAAATATTATCTTGGCAATTTGCTTCATTTAAGGATAATAGTTTACTGTTAACAGCTGCGTACCTATCTAACTAAAACAATATAATTATATAATTGCAGTACCTAGGTATTGTTATAAACCTGAGTAGGTAAATCAATAATACAATAAATAAGTAATGAATATTTATTTGTATAGTTAAAATAAACCAAAACTCATGTCATATTGAAAAATTATAACAAAAATGTACCTAGTAATAATCTTATAATTTTGTAAGTAATTTTTCAGGGTTTGGTAGACTTTCCAATTTCGTCAAAATTTATTTTTCTGTACAAATGTACAATATAAATATTTTATACTATAATTCATTTATCTATTGACCAATCTTTTATTTTAGTCAATTTAAGCAGATAATAATTTATTGTATTGACTACAATTTATAGTAATATAATACAATTTATAATAATACCTAATAACTAACCTAAAACGTCACACAATATATACTCTATGTTCTGTGACTGTGTTTAAACCTAAAATATATTAGGTAAATGTGTCATGTACCTATACAGTATTAGAAAAAATAACCAGAGAAGACGCTTTACTAGGTATATAGTACATTTCAAATTCTGATTCTATTATAACTTTTCGAGAACTTTATTCATATATAATTATATAGGGGATTGCAGCGCACGTATTTTTCATACGTTTTAGACCAGTAAGCGGCGGTAAATTACACATATTTCGAAATGTCCGATTTAATTTTTTTATACATGTTTGAATTCATTGATAAAATATCTAGGCTTCTTAGGAAGTCGATTTTCAATTTTCAATTTAAAATTACCTTAAAATAACCATTTTTTTTTTTAGAAATCCCACGAAATAATTTCATTACATTTGTATTTATTTTGGGCACATCTGATTTTAAATAAAAAAAGTGATTCCTAAGAAGCATAGTCTAGAAGTTTATAAATTCAACAATTTTTTCGAAATTACAATCGAACTTCGGGAAGTATAGGTAAGTAATTTACTACCGCTTTTAGTAGTTTTTTTACAGTCATGCAAACAAGAATATATTTCATTTTTCTCGATGTATTAACATGTGCGTGCGCGTGTGAGAGTTGCTTCCGGCGGGGTTGCCCGAATTGAGGTGACAGCTATTCTCGGAAACGATAACGGATTACTACGCACACTAGTGTTCATTTACTACTCACGCATAGATACAGTATTCATTTATATGTCACATGAATTGCCTAAACAGTACTCCTTAAAATGTGCTACGTTCCAGTCCCCTTAACTTTAGAAGAACTGGAAAAGATGCCTGACTCTGTAACTGCATGAAAAGCAATTGGTTTCAGTGCAAGTATTAAACGAAGTGAATTTTTTATATCTTCGATGGGGGTTAAAAAAAATATATAATGAAAAAAGTGCAATGTTTTGTGGTGCTCTTCTCGTAGTGTGATAAACTTGAAATTTGAACCATATAGGTTCTCTATATTGGTAGGTATCGCATGCAAAGTATGAATTTAGGAGTTGAAATTCATAACCCTTCATATTTTTAGTTTTGGTCATTTACATTTTACTTCATACTTTTCCTATCATACTTTTCTTACAATAGCATTAATTTGGTTTCTTTATTAGGAGACTAAGGTAATACCTTATGGTATTTGATTCTTGTTATAATAATATTGGAAATCTGTAATTGACTCAGATTAAAAGTATGCCTAAGTTCTTTACAAAGCTATATTGAGATTGACTATTTATCTAAATATCTTGCAAATAGTTTATTTTAAATCACGATTATTAAATAATTCTTAAAGAATTTCAACTGCTAAATTCATACTTTGCATGTGATACCTACCAATATAGGGAACTTATGGTTAAAATTTAAAGTTTTAAAAGTTGGTTATAATAAAAAATTATTTAGTTCTTGTAAATTAAACCTATAAAAATTATGTCAATTAAAAGTATTAATGCATATTTTACTAAACTTTAGGGGACCATAGTCAATAAACTAACCAAAATTGATGAGTTGAGTGATTTGACTATCAATGTTTTCAGAAAAAAAAAGCTTTACGGGAATCCATTAAAAAATAAAGAAGTTACCATTTGAAAATAAAAGTTGAATTTGCTATTGGTAGACCTGCGTGTATAAAAATTTTGAAATTGTTATAAAAAAATGTCCTATTAAAAATAAAGAAACACGTTTTAACGAAATTCCATGTCATCGATCCATAGGTAATCGTTAAAAAATCCCTCGTACAATGACATAAGATACACACTGTATAATGAATATTTTATTCACTATAAAAACTTAAGCTAAATGCCCATGCTCTTATGTACATTTTTTCGTCGAGCCCCCCCCCTTTTTCATTCCTATAGATCCACGCCTGCACAGAATCTAAAAATGTATGAATATATTAAACTTACTGGAGTTGGTATTGATTTGTTAACCATTATATCACACAACGTTTCTAATGTTACTGAGGATCTTTCAGGATTCTTATAATGCCTGTTGTCTTTGTTGTATTGTACAATTGTTGCGAAATTGTCAGCTAAAATTTCAAACAAATATGATACATCTTTATCGTTTTTTCTGTCCAAGGGATCACACAATCTAAAACATTTTGAAAATAAATTGTATACATGAAATTGAGGTCATATAATTATATTTTCAATTGTATTACTTGAATTTTTTTTCAATTATTTTAGCTCCATGGTCGGTTTTAAGCAAATAGTTGATCATTTCATTTGCTTGTTTTATTTGAGACACGCATTCTGGGTTATATGTTGCTAATGCATTTTCTACTACCATAAAATATTCTACAAAAATAAAAGAAACTATTATATATTGAGTTGTGCAATAACTACCAATATTATTACTTCAAGATACCAAAAAGTCAAATTATTTGATGATCTCAAATTATATATGTTCACAATTCAATTGGAGGTACCTATATAGTATTCAAACCTCTTAAATGTCTTTTTTCATTTAGCTCATTCTTGTGACGTTGAAAATACGCTCTTGAATTTATGAACAGGTAGGTACGCCACATAGGTGCATACTACATATAACTATATAACTGTCGCTTATATTATTTTTTGTACAAATCATTTAATCTATAGAGAGTACCTACTAAAAGTTATTTCTGTAGTAGTTACTAGAAGAGAGACAACTATATACCTATTATAGCAGTAGCCAGTAGTACGCCTTAATGCCTTATATAAACTGCTGAATATAAATTAATTTCGTCTAGTTAACTTTTGTCAACAATATCATTTAGTTATGTTGGCCTGCCGTTTCTATTTTTCAACACGTTATTCCATAATAAATAAAACTAAAAATATTAATTTCAATACCATGCCCAACTGCTCAAGGATACTATCAGTTCAGACCATCTTTAATATTGCCTAATTTTGAGGTAAAAAAAAAATATTGAAAAATTAATATTTATTTAGAAACCATTTATGTCGTAAATCGTAATATTATTATATAATATTATTGACTGTTGGACTGAAATAGTAAACAATGAAAACTGTATAGAAAAAAAATCCAAGGGTAGGAGGCAGTGGCATAATTACGAATGTTTCATTTGGGAATGGGATATTAAAATAAATTTGAATGGTGAACTTGTAGGGGACTTTTCCACTCACACCCCCCTTATCTAAATTAGATATCTCATCGACTCGTCACGTCGTGGTGTATAGGTAAAATCGAATTACAATTTTTTTTTTTTTTAATTATTACCATTATAATATTATAATAAATTATTAAATTCTATTATTTTTAATATACTCTTTCAAATTTTTGATAATAATTAATATGACATAAGGAACAATTGCTGTTTAGCTACCACTCGATTTTTTTTATTTATTTTTTTTTTTTTTTGATACATATGTATTTCAACTAGTTAAGATGGTGCAAAATAAAAAACGCCTTCCTAAGTTTGCGATTTTACGTTTTTACGTATGAGTACATATTCGGGTAGACAAATATAAATTAAATCATAATTATCGTCGATCATATTTTATAGACACACCTTTAAAATCTATTTTTGCTAAAAGTGGCCCACTAGAAGAAACTGCTGCGTGTATAAGATGTGGGTATTTCATTCTTAGCCATGCAGCTAAAGTTCCAGGGTAAGATCCTCCAAATGCTATCCATTTAGCTGTAGACGGTATGCTGTATTTAGTTTTGATATTAACAATGAATTCTGCCAAATCAGCTAATGCTTGATCACTGCTCAAGTACACTAAATTGCTAGTACTCATATCTCTGTAAATATATAATTTATATATGAAAATATTATTATATGAATAAATAATAACCATTAATCAATAATAAAAATAAATAAAAAAACATTTACAGAAAACTTTTATTGAAATATAAGTTAGCTGTGGGTACACTATATCACCGCTGTTCATAATATTATTTTAACCTACCTATATTAGTAAATTATATAATTAAACTTGCAATAATTTAAAATTGTAATTAGTTAAATAAGTACTTCATAAAAAGAAAATGTTGATAGGTATTAGATGTGTGTTAATACTAAACTATAATGTGTTAATACAATTTTTTTTTAAATAATACATGGTGTTTGTTTTCACTTGAATTAAGATTTCAATGAACAATTTTACATTTTTATAGAATTATGCTACTATATGCTAGGCTATAATATTAGATTCTGATCGGAACGGAGAATATATTATTGGTCTTACAATGAAGTGTTTTTATTTTTGTTGTCTATGGTCTGTGGAAACCTTTGCATTTTAAACCATTAAACATGCTTGAATTTTCAACTTTGAGGGAGATTTCTGGTAGGTACTGTTAGTAGTAAAACATCAAGGGACAAAAATAAAAATGATCGGTACTAAGAAAAATTTTAGTTTCTGTTATAATTTAAAAATATTATTTGTGGGTGCTTGAATCTTCTAAAGTATATTATTATACACAAATAATATTAATTTAACTGGTACCGGTTAACGTAGGGGAAAGCGGAGTATTACCGTATGTGGGGCAAGACCGTATAATCATGATTTCATCAGTAATTTATATCATGGACGAAAACTGAACACACTGATTTGAAGCGTTTTGTTTGTTTATTTATTGAATATGATAATGGGCGTGTTTTGATATCACAATATATTGGGAAAAAAATATTTTATGTGTTTTTAATCAATTATTAAAATATTTTAAAATATTTAACAAATAAAAAACTTGTAATTAAAAAATTGTACAGGTATGTTTTTATTATTATTCAATACCTTATTAAGTTTAATTTGCATTTCTAGTTTGGATACATTAATTTATCTACTTAAATTTTTTATATACCTAACTCGATTTATTTTAATAGTCGTGTTGGGGCAAAATCGTATAATTATACCACAGGAATACATACGGTTTTACCCCAGGTGTGGGTAAATTCGCAATTTTTCAAAAAAAAGTAAAACACAATTTAACACGTTTAAAAAAAACAGAACTTAAAAAAGTTTCAAATGAAAGTTATAAAACTTAATTTTTTCAATGTATACCAGTTTAAAAAAATTAATTTCGTCAAAAATTATATGATATATAAGCCATGTCCTGTTATGCCCCCAAGTCCATGCGGTACCTATAACCCAGGTTTTTGATAAATTCGTATTTTTACAAAAAACAGTAAAACACAAATTACACACATTTTTAAATAATAAAGGTAAAAAAGTTTCAAATAAAAGTTATAGACTGTAAGTTTTCCTATGTATATCAGTTAAAAAAGTTGCATTATGTTCAAAATTACATGATTTATAAACCATGGAAGCTTAACCATACGGTACTGCCCCGCCTTCCCCTATTGGTAATAATAACAATACCTATAAATATAATGGTATTATAATATCATAGAATTCAAATTTAACACTATCATTTACAGTGACCCACATTACAGCAGAGCGACATCCACTTACCCGCTTTTCTTATTTTCATTAAAAAATCTTTTACTGACATGTAATTCTAATAAAACTAATAAAAATCGAAATTTTAATATGCCTATAAATAGCTCAAAAAGAGTCAAAATTGTTAAAAAAAATTGTATGGTGTAGGTAGTACGGTCATTGTAAAATCAATACATTCATCGCTCAGCTCAAAATCTAATAACCATGTTGCTTATTTGAGTGTACCTAATTCAAAAAATTTTATTTGTAGGCGAGTAGAGACTTTACGCACTGTAGATATTCGCAATGAAAACAGGTTAATTGGTGAGACTAAGTTTAAGTTATATAACAATAGAATCTGACACGGAATCTTAAAATGTGGTTTGAGGATAATTATGTTCTTGGTCGAGTTCGAAAAACACTACGAAATGGCAACCTTGTACCTTGTCCACATCCAAAAAAGAAAAATGAACAACGAGAGGACAGAATCCAAAACATGATACGAAATTGCGGAAACGTTCCAGTTATATAGATTTTAAGAAGTCTTGCTTACAATATGAGATTATAATTTTAGTTTATTTCATAGTTCATACATTTTATGTTTATTTATAATTTATACCCTATAATTTTAAAAGAATATTTACAATCCATACAACAGACGAGGTATAATGAGTAAGTGTGGTGACATAGGAACATTAGACATAAATAACGTAATAGGAAGGCTCCCAGCAGTGCCACCTGACCAGAAATTAAATATACTTATTCATTTTAATTTAATTTTTTTACATAGGTAATAGGTATTGACATATTGTCATACATTTAATTTTTACTTATAATCTATATCCTATAATATTTTTTTATTTACACAATTCATACATATTGACATATTTGACATATTGACCCGTCGACATTTTGTACTCGTTGGTGTTTCGATTGTCGACATTTTAACTTATCGATATATTGATTGTTGACGTTTCCAACGGCTCCCAATAAATATATATACCTATCTAATAAGATGTATTTACCCCTTTGAAATATATAATGTTTAATGAGTAATGACAGAACATCTCCGCTCAGAATAATTGTTTTTCGTATACAATGATTTATCGTTGAATTCAAATTTAACACGTATAGTCCATTACAGTGACAAGTGGCCTCAATGACACACTCGACCGGGATAGGTAGATACCGGGTACCAACTATACAGCAGTGACCTGGTTGTTAAATAAATATACCTACTATATAGTTATTATATAAATTATAATAACTTTAATTGTTTTATTTTGTGTAGGTACATTTATATCAAGAACTTGAGTTATAAAACTGTGATTCGGATGAATGTCATAGTGGACCTAAGTTTTGAGTGTACCTATTGTCATAATTTAGTAGGTAACACGTTTTATCAATTTATCATCAATAAATCGAAAAATTATCAATATAATTAAAATATTCAAACGTCGATAAAATGGGAAAAATATTTTTTAAACATAATACATTTTTTCATTAATTGGTTAGTGGAATGCATACTCATTAGGTACTCAAGTACAACTTTCAAGTTTTTCAGAATTTCCCCCCCCCCCCCCATTATTTTTAAAAGTTCCTACATAGAATTTTTTAGTGCCACAAGTAAATCCAATTTTCTACTAAATTCACCCTCAAAGTTTAAGACTTAATTATTTTTACTGCTCCAACGGTGATGACCGACAAAAAAAAAAATCAATACCTACATTCATCACTCCACTCAGAATTGATAAACGTCGTTCTAAATTATTTTTTTCCAATGGGTAAAATAAATAACCATGTACTTACCTATTTCTATATCCTACTTATAAAGTTATAACCTAGGTACCTATGTATTATGTCCTATAATATTAATTGAAGACATTATAGATATAAAAATAATACTATACAAATTTATTGCTTTATATTTCATTATAATTCTTACTCAGTAGGGTGACTTTCGCCATAATATCGATGTTCCAGTTGAATACATAAGGCATTAAATTCTTTAGCGTAATCAATCCAGGCTCCGCTGTGCATCCATTTAGCTGAAATTTCCCCTTCTCCTCCAATCATCAAAAACACCGGTCCATCATTTTTATAATTGTCCAAATTCACTTGATATCTCTAGACATAATTTATCGAAACTTAGTTTATTTTGGATTTTGAATTATTCTGATAATTGTTTCATTATATATCCATATAGCCATATATACCATATAGGTAGATATATTTAATTTACCTGTTTCCACGTTCTATTGTTAGTAGGATTAAAATGATCTAATTTCTGTATGAACCATTCGTCTTCAGTATTCATTATTCTTGATGATTCTGGTGAATTTGGTTCTCCTAATCCAAGAAGAATGTTTTTGATACCGTTGGCTGGTAAACTCATCCACACAAAATGCCACAATATACAAAATATAAATTTCATTTTTCAAATAAAAATGTACAATCTAAAAAAAATTAATAATATGTAGTAAATGGTAAAATACAGAATAATATGTTAAAATTAATTTTGAACTTATAAGTGACAATGTGATATGTTGCAACTTATGGTTTAAACTTGAACTATTGTACCCATAGGTATTACAATTATAATTATATTTTATTTTTAGTAATTTTTCTTAAAACATTCTAATTAATATTATTTTAATATTTATAATTTTATAAATAATTAAGTTGAATAGTTATTGAACTATTAGATTATTATTGATACCTAGCAAATAACATTATATTATACATTATATAAATTATATTATTATCAGAAATTATAATATAATATTAGGTAATTATTTTATAATAAAACCTATCTGTAAAATTAGGTGAAGTACCTGCGTCCTGCATTCAATATTATAGATTACAATGAATGTAGGTACTCATAAATGTTGATAAATGAATATATTTGGAGATCAAAAAAGTTTTTTTATTTTATACTAACTGTCTGAATTGAGTTTGAATTCACTAGGTGAGTACCTACAACTTGTTAACTACTAACCTATTAGGTACCTATTGGCTTCTATTATAGTACCTACCTACTATCTACTATCTTTTTTAAATTTAAACAAAGAAAATTAAAATACACATTACACAATACCTAAAGGTACATAAATAATAAAAATAATAATAATAATAATAATGATAAATTTAACCACTAAAAGAATAGGTTTCAAATATGTTCTAACTATTTTAAACTAAATAGGTACTCTTTGTATTTTATGTAAATATTAATGTGAATACCCAATAATGCATAATTAAAAGTGTTTTGAAGGAACGAATTCCTGGAACGAAATTCTTTTTTTAAGAACTAGTTCTTTTTTTTTAAGGAAAAATAACAAAATTGTTCGTTCCTTTCTAGTTCCAATAATTTACACAGATAAGTATGTAAAAATTGAAATTAAGATAAATATTTTTTAATGTGTATAATGTATATTGCTAATTAGTGATCGTTATTGAGTATCGACGTTAAAACAATTGTCATACGTTAGCCAAAAATTAATTTTTGAAAAAAATCTCAAAATATATAATAATATTCTAGCTGATCCCGTGCACTTCGTTCCCCGTTAGATGTACCAACTCTATATGACTCAAACTTTGTTCAATTCGTTATTTAATGTGTATTTGGTGACGGGTGTATAGTGTTTAATATTTATCTTAACTTTTCTGTTGCCAGGAACAAAAATGCTGATTCGCAGCAGAATAATATTATCAGGTTGGCAATTTACCAGCGGTAGATCGCGGGCCCTGCGCTATTTGTACGTAACTTTATAATTTAACTTTAAAATTATAAAATCAAAGTTATACCAAGTATGTCACTGAACTCCTCCTAAACTGCTGGACTAATTGTGAATGCCGAGCCCGTGTATAAATCTGACCAATATTTCCCCCTCGTCCACGAAGACGTGGCATTGTTTTATGTACGTAACTCATATGTGAGTATAATTTAATTCTCTCAATATTTAAGTAATTGCGATACATATATAATATCAAAACATAGAGCAAAAAAAAATTAAATGCATTGAATGAATACTCTGATTTCACGGCAACCAATAATTATTTATTATAATAGTTGTAAAACGCATGGCAACCATTTATAAACAAAAATTTCCACCGTAAAATCTCTTTACGCAAAGGTAGATAATTTTATAAGGAATCATGTATTACATTTTAAAATCTTAGATTTAAAAAGAAAAATTTTTAAAAAATTCTTAACTCAAAATAATTTGCTACTTTTCGTGTTTTTTCCGTATTTTGTCGATATATTTTGAAGTTTAAATGCTTATAAAAAGAAACTGTGACTAAGGATTTTTAATATTTTTCAAATGTCATTGTAACAACATAATAGGAGCTTTTTATTACATTTTCAAGCTTTTTTAACCAACAAATACAATTTTATTGATATTTTTAGAAAAAACACTAAAAAAAAAATGGAAAATTAGAAAGGCCCTAAACAATTCAAAATAAATCAAAATATTTTGAAAATGTTATCGTGTATAGAAAATGCAAATATAAACAACCAGTGAAAATTTCATGTATCTTTGGTCATTTGTTTTAAAGTTACACCAAAAACCAAATTCGATTTTGCGTAAAAATTCCCGTTTTTCCATAATTTTTCTTTTTTTTTTCTTGGCGCCTTTGAAAAGTACTGGCAATTTTAAATTTTGACCTCCTCAATGCACCAACGATATTTACTTTCCAATCAAACAAGATACTGAAGTTGAAAATCGAAGCATTATTTCGACTACTTATCGTGTACACAGACACAAAAAAAATTTAAAAAAAAAAACACACACATCATTGTAAAATCAATACATTCATCGTTCCACTCAGAATCTAAAACTTTCGCGTTTATAATGTTAGCAGGATTACATAAACATATAAAATATGTACCTACTTGTTGTTAGTTATATATTATAATTAAAAATGAAAGAAGTATGCATAATATGAAAAAAAAATATTAATGATTAAATAACAATTTTTATTTTATTTGGAACTAAAAAAGGAACTCGTTCATTTCTCAAATTAACGACAAAGGAACGAATTCTTTTTTTTTTAAGGAACAAGGAACGGAACGAATTCATTTTTATAAGAAACTTGCCAAACACTGATAATTACAATACAATATACCTAGTAGGCTTACTTTTTTTATGGTTACCTATACCTAATTACATTTTTACACATATAATACAACTATACTACAGTACAAAACTTCATTTAGGTAGGTACCTATATTATAATATGGGATGGATAAATTTAACAGTAGTAGTGTAAACATAGGTTATATTCAATATTGCAACTGTTAGTTATATAATTAGACTACTGCCAAGTTCCAAAGAAAAATGGTTAATTTAACAGTTTCACTTAATGAATCTTACTCTATAAAATCATATTTAAGCAACTATTAACTTACTATTCAGTATTGATATATTATTTTAATATTTGTATAAATAATAAATTCAAATATGTTTACTACTGAATGCTTATGCAACCTGGCAACTCAATTGTATTCATTTCAATTGAATTTGAAATCATCATCAATAAAATGTAGGCATATAATATTTGCTGTAATAGTGTTATTTAGTACCTATCTTATATCTATAACTTCACAACCTTAGTAGATAGGTCTATTTCTACAATGCGTTCTAACAGAATATTAATATATATTAATTTGATTATTAACTTATTTTTTTTTAATTATTATAAATAGGAAATGCATTAAAAATACACTAAAAATACAAAAAACTAAAAACATTTAAAAATTTTACTAAAAATATAGTACCTACTTACTTAATTACTAAAATATTAGAATTGTACATCTTATTTACAGATATATAAAAATGTTTCTAATTAGTACTTTAAAATACAACGACTAAGTTACGTAAAAAATATTCAAATGGATTTCTTTCCACCATGCTTCAAATAGATAATAAATACCTATATTATATTATCGTGTATGCTTGTATAAATAATTATGTAATATGCATATAAAAAGAAACTGTGACTAAGGATTTTTATATTTTCAAATGTCATTGTAACAACATAATAGGAGCTTTTTATTACATTTTCAAGCTTTTTAACCAACAAATACAATTTTATTGATATTTTTAGAAAAAACACTAAAAAAAAAATGGAAAATTAGAAAGGCCCTAAACAATTCAAAATAAATCAAAATATTTTGAAACTGTTATCGTGTATAGAAAATGCCAAATATAACAACCAGTGAATTTCATGTATCTTTGGTCATTTGTTTTAAAGTTACACCAAAAACCAAATTCGATTTTGCGTAAAAATTCCCGTTTTTCCATAATTTTCTTTTTTTTTTTCTTGGCGCCTTTGAAAAGTACTGGCAATTTTAAATTTTGACCTCCTCAATGCACCAACGATATTTACTTTCCAATCAAACAAGATACTGAAGTTGAAAATCGAAGCATTATTTCGACTACTTATCGTAAAAATTTAAAAAAAACACAAAATCATTGTTAAAATCAATACATTCCTCGTTCCACTCAGAATCTAAACACTTTCCGTTTAATAACGTTAGGCAGGATTAAAAACATATAACAATATGTACCTACTGTTGTTCGTCTATATTATCATTACAAATTGAAAGAAGTATGCATAATATGAAAAAAAAATATTAATGATTAATAACAATTTTTATTTTATTTTGACTAAAAAAAGGAACTCGTTCATTTCTCAAATTAACGACAAAGGAACGAATTCTTTTTTTTTTAAGGAACAAGGAACGGAACGAATTCATTTTTATAAGAAACTTGCCAAACACTGATAATTACAATACAATATACCTAGTAGGCTTACTTTTTTATGGTTACCTATACCTAATTACATTTTTACACATATAATACAACTATACTACAGTACAAAACTTCATTTAGGTAGGTACCTATATTATAATATGGGATGGATAAATTTAACAGTAGTAGTGTAAAAACAATAGGTTATATTCAATATTGCAACTGTTAGTTATATAATTAGACTACTGCCAAGTTCCAAAGAAAAATGGTTAATTTAACAGTTTCACTTAATGAATCTTACTCTATAAAATCATATTTAAGCAACTATTAACTTACTATTCAGTATTGATATATTATTTTAATATTTTGTAATAAATAATAAATTCAAATATGTTTACTACTGAATGCTTATGCAACCTGGCATTTGACTCAATTGTATTCATTTCAATTGAATTTTAAAATCATCAATAAACATTAATGTAGGCATATAATATTTGCTGTAATAGTGTTATTTAGTACCTATCTTATATCTATAACTTCACAACCTTAGTAGATAGGTCTATTTCTACAATGCGTTCTAACAGATGAAATATTAATATAATTTAATTTGATTATTAACTTATTTTTTTTTAATTATTATAAATAGGAAATGCATTAAAAATACACTAAAAATACAAAA